AAAGAAAAGGCTGTACCAGCCTCAGGGGGTTACCTCTGAGGAGGGCACAGAATGAGTGATCTTTGTGTTTTTTGTGTCTTTCTGCATTGCTGCAATGCACTAAGAATTCGTGTATTACCTGGCCGATATGTCCAAAAACAAAAACCAAGGGACAGGCAGAACATTCTGCCCAGGGCCACATAGTGTGGTAGAGAAGAACTGGTCCTGAATTCAGACCTCCTGATACCTACTCTGGACTCTTTCCTCTCCTTCCCTGAATCTCCACCACAGTTTCTTTTGTTATGATCACAGCAGCTATCATTTATCTTGAAGTCAGGCACTGTTCTAAGTGGGTCATCACAACACTAAGCAGTACAGACATCCCACATGCATATTTTACAGATGAGAAGACTGAGGCTCCAGAGAGGGGAAGTGCCTGAATTTGTAACCTTTGGTCTAATCCTCCACCTACCCCTTGAAAGAGACAGACATTTGCATCCTGGTCTTTCACACCCAGAAGCCACTCAGGAAATGCAGGTTGGCCCAAGGGAACTAACCTGATACTCCTCCTCGGTAAGGCCCTCAGCCAGGGCATGTTGGCGCAGCTGGTCGGGGTCCTGCGCGCGGAAGAGGCGGCTGAGCAGAGCATAGATGTAAGGGGCCTCGGGGGAGGTCTGAAGCAGCACAGCCAGGCCTCCATACCAGGCAGCACGGGACAGGTGGTGGGCATAGAGGCGCTCTGTGGGTGACAGCAGGCGGAAGGCCTCACGGCAGTCCAGGCTAGACACGCCGATGTCATTGGGCAGGATGTACTGGGTGTCCGCCATGGGCCCTGCTGAGAACCATCACTGTCATCACAGCTGTTGTTTACCCCATATCAATTGCATACCTGGCTCTGAACTCTTATAATCTCATTTAATCCTCCCAAAAGCCCACATGGAAGGGAATATTATTGTACCCATTCACCAGATATGCTAACTGAGGCTCAGAGGTCAGATGACTCACCCAAGGGGTCACAAAATACACTGGTGTACCATATTTGGCCTGTAGTCCCTAAACGTTAAAGATTGATTCTAAGGTCAGACACGGAGGCTCACACCTGTAATCCTAGCACTTTGGGAGGCCGAGGTGGGTGGATCACCTGAGGTCAAGAGTTCAAGACCAGCCTGATCAATGTGGTGAAACCTCCTCTCTACTAAAAATACAAAAATTAGCCAGGTGTGGTGGCGGGCGCCTGTAATCTCAGCTACTGGGAAGGCTGAGGCAGGAGAATCACTTGAACCCAGGAGGCGGAGGCTGCAGTGAGCCTCGTACCATTGCACTCCAGCCTGGGCAACAGAGTGAGACTCCATCTCAAAAAAAAAAAAAAAAATAGATTGACCTAACTACCTAGTATTACAGATGGGGAAACCGAGGCTCAGGCTCAGAGCCTTGCCTAATCCCACAGTGGAGACATCAGCAGCAGAGATCCTCATCTCTAGGCTCCCAGCCCAGGCCCCTCCCTGCTTCCTTGTTCAGTATTCTTTTATTGAGATGGAGTCTCACTTTGTTGCCCAGGCTGAAGTGCAGTGGCATGATCCTGACTCACAGTAACTTCCGCCTCCCGAGTTCAAGTGATTCTCCTGCCTCAGCCTCCAAAGTAGCTGGGACTACAGGCGTGCATCACCACGCCCAGTTAATTTTTTGCATTTTTGGTAGAGACGGGGAG